AAAATAACCTTAGTAATAATAAAAAAATTAATTTTATTCAAATTTCGTTTTAAATAATTGCTACAGTTTGTTCAGTACAGTAGACAGCATGCATATACGTACATGCATACAAATCTCTTCCCAATGATTTACAGTCATTGCATTTGAAATCATTTCCTACCTTGTTTGCAGTGATCATTACCATCTTTTAAATGGTAAATCTACAACTGACATGTACATAAAGATCCCCCAAAATACCTTCATTTCATTGATTGTGATTGAATTCATTTTGCTACGAATTTTGTAAGCCTGTATGACTATTGGATTCAAATGTCAAATGTTGTAGAAATTCCTTGTCCAAACATAAACATTTCCAGTGGTGTTTTGGCTTGATAAGGAGTACAGTTGGGTTTAAATTGACTCTTTTCGGTAGATCTTTATCTACCCACTCCACAATTTTCTCAAACTGACATTTAAAGTAAAATGTCTAAAATTACTAATTATGAATAAAAAATGGCAGTATAAGAAAATGTAAGCAATATTATATAATATTTACTATGAGAAATTGTACCAGCTTGGAAACAGAAGTAGCAGCCATTTTCCAAATAGCAATGCTTTACTTAATGATGCTATACAGCCATCTATGATCGACAGTTGAAAGTTCTAATAATATAGAATGAATAAACACAGGAATGAAATCTGTTAAGGCATTTACAGAAGAATAAACAAATTTAAGCTTTTGTCTACTAGAGTGGACATGATGCAACAAAGGGTTAAAGGGAGGTACATAATTAATCCTTTGGTACTATAATATTTTACACTTCTCTGTTTAGTGAATTTTTTTGCAGAATTCTGCCTGAGGTGGGAGCTTCCTTGTATAAAAACATTAAATAACAAAGTTTTTGAATGGGTGGTTTTTTTTTTTTTTTTTTTTTTTATTTTATTTTTTTGAAAGCTTTCTATTTCTACTTTAAAATTATTTATTCATTTGCTGTGACATGTACATACATGTAGCTTTGGTCCTAAAGAAAAGCCATGTGGGCTGTTATTTGTAGTCACATTCCATTCTATATGAGGGAGGGAGGAGTTTCTTTACTTAGTAATATTTTGCTCTTACGTAGCATTGAAAAATTAATATATATAATAAAAATATTTTTAAAATATAACTGCACTGGCATTGATAACATTACAGAATTTTATGATATGTGTGTCTTTTTTAATGAATATTGCCTGTATGTATTGCAAATGACATTAGCATAGTACAGTATGAAGATTTTATTGTGGAAAGTATGGGAATGCATGAAGGGAGGCTTTGCTGGTCATTTGAGAAACAGGAATAAAAATGCTGCAATCTTCATTCATGCTGTAACTTTGTGTAAATGTTTAACTAGTATAAGTTTTGAGAACATGCTACAGTATATTTAATTCCTGCAAACATTTTAATATTACACAAACATATTTATATCGATACATATTCAAATAATACATTGTAGAAATTATCTGATGCATTAAATTTGTATGTTTATGGCAGTGACTGAACAGTAGTTGTTCTGTTTCCTTAAATCTTTAAATCACCATAGGCTTTGCTATATTGTATAATCAATATTATAACAGCTAGAATTTTGTATGTAATTTATTCCTTTCCTCTCTATCTCTTCTTTCTACCCACCAGTGGCAAAGCAGTTAAGCCGCTGAACACTGGTAGTTTGGTCCGAGGTTTGAATCCAACGAATGGGCTGAGTGCATGGATGTTTTCATGGTTTTCCCCATGTGTAACATGTATATGAGTCGTTTCTGTTCGAAAGTCCTTCCCAAAGGCATCGCTACCCTTAATCAGATACCCTCGAGTCCTTTGCCATAATCAAATACACCACCTTTCCTCTTTCCATTAAATCAACAGAGAGGAATGAAGGTTTAAAATGACATATCTCAAAGAAACATTTTGCAAAAGAATTCTACCATAAAAGAGTTGTTTCTACAGGACATACAATTTGAAGTCTAACTTTTTGGAAAATTGTGACCAGTCATCACTCACACATTGACAGGCGAGGTGGAAAATAATGTATGACAATTTAGTGTGATTGGCCATTTCTTGGCTTTTTATATGACAAACTGGCTTAACCATTTAATTTCTAGCAGAGTTAAGCATATGTCAATTAGTGAATAAATATGTTTAATAGAATGAATTTATTATCTAAAAATTTTTCTCAAAATGAAATAAATTATCCTAATATTACCTCATGAATTGTATATAATATTAACACATATTTTATGGAAAATATTCAGAGATTAAATAAATTTTTCAAATTATTGTGAAAAACCATATTCAGTGTTATAAATGTTATAGATATTTCAGATTTGTAAAAATATCCACCAATAGTGATTTTCTGAAACGGGCTAGTGTTCCACATTAACTAGAAATTGCTTTAATTCATGAAAATCATTGCTTATCCATATAAAAATTTGCTTAACAAGGGAGAATCCAGTAACATTTTTACTTAGTCTTTTGATGGGAAAAATTCGTGTGGAAGAAAATATGTGTGACATCACCTGAGAAGTAATTAAAGTACAAATGGTTTTACTCTCGGGAGTTTAATAGTGAAAACTTAAACATGTCCTTTTTAGTTGCTGGATGTCAATATATGTGTAAGATATTAAAATAAAATTATAGTCATTATGAATTATTAGAAAAACATTATCAGACCTAACATAGTTATCAAATTTTTAGGTTGCATGTGTATTTAATAAAAACATTGAACATGCCCTGTGTCTTAACTCTTTGAGGAGCAGGAAAAGTCAATTAACTTTTTCATCAAAACTCTTGTTTTATTTATTATATCAGGTGTTACAATGAAATTATTTGCAAGAATTACACATATTTTGTCCAAGATGTGTGAAAAAAATGAGTACTTCTGGTGGTTAATGTCGGTGACTACCGTCTGCAGAACAAATCCCTATAAATCAATCTGTATAATACTCATGGAAACAGTTTTTCATTTTCAAGCAGAGTGCAACTTTGCATATGCTGCACTCCCACATTTCGAAATTGTTAAATGTTCTTTTGTAGATTGTGTGCATTAAAAGTAATCTTGGGTTTTCATCCGCAGAGAACCCGTTGGCGATTCGGGAAAGAATCCATTGGCGCCGTTGCATTTTTACTCGCCAAGCTCGCGGTTCATCGACGATGAGCCGAGCCGTAAATGTGATATTTTGTAAACGTGATTTTTAGTGCATGTAAATTCAAGTTAGCAAACAAAACAAGCATATGGTAGTAAAAATTCACAGATAATAAGCATGTAGATGTAAAACTAACCGGTTAAACGTGATATACGAAAATAAATGTGAATTAAATTCAAGTTAGCACAGAAAAGAATATATTAAGCATAAGACAATATATAAGCATTTATAACGGAAATAAAAATTCATTTAAAATTATAAATTAGTATTAATGTATTGAAATTAACCGGTTAAACGTGAGAAACGAAAAACATTTGTCTTAAATTCCAATTAACACAGAAAAGAATATATTCCTTACATCAGCAGTGGTTTGCTAATTTTGATGACCATGGTGATGCATCAAACTATTCTGTCATCTTAGATAATCAATAATATTTTTTTATTTCAATTTAATCATCTATTTATGTCACACCTACCATCCTCTGAAAGGTTATTGTTAGAAAAGCATTAACAATATATTATCTTGTTAAAATTTTACGCCAGAAAAATTGATTTATTCTCATAATTTTAGATGACAATAACCAATAATAAAAATAAAAGCATTATTTAATTAGTTAAAATGCACATGCATATTTTTGCGGCCTACGGAAACAAATTATTTTTAGAGGTTGGAAACCTCATTGTTCTTAGAGTTGTTAATAATTAAGAACACACAACGTGAACAGCGTGAACAGCCTTGTTACAAATTAGCATTCACCCCTCCCGCCGTATTTTCTTCCTTTCATCCCGAACCGAGAACCTGGCATCTATCTACGAAAATATTTCTATCTATTCGTTGTTAAAAATTTCAGAAAAAATAATAATAAATAATAGAAGAATAATGTAAATCTGCAAATGCGAACAACAACAGTGATATTTCAACAAAATGAATGCAAGAGAAATGGTTGCAAACTTCGAACAAGCGAATGCGATAAATAGGCTGGGTTACCAGGTTTGAACTATTATCGCCAAAGTTGGCGATGTTTACATTTACCGGGTTCTCTGCGGAAGTGCTTCCGTAATCTTAACAAGAATGATGAAATTTTATAACATATTCATTAAATTTTATAACATTAAATTACAGTTTATAACAAATAATAAAATTTGAGTAAGAAATCATAATAAAATAAATTAAAGGTAATAAAATTTGAGTAAGTTATAAGTTGTAGATCTCGTTTCATTTCTTTTTAATTGTCTTCATATAATACTAAATATTTCTCCTTCTCTTACCATTTTATGTTCAAAACAGAAATGTCAAAGCAAATGCCAAAGCTTTTAAAACTGAAATGTCTTGAATTAAAAGTTGGTAACGGTAATTATTACTTTTACATAAAATGTAAAATATTTATCCTTTCTAATATTTTTAATTGTGTTAATTTTTTAAAAAGTGCGATTTTTTTATCATTATAACATATTTAATGGTCATTTCTTTTATTATTAAAAAATATTCATAACACTGTATTGTAATTTGAAATTTCCGTGTAGAATTTTTTTTTTTTTTTTTTTTTTTTTTTTTTTTTTTAAATAAGGTAGTACATCCTTTTAAATCAAGTAGTTTTAATTTGAGCAAGCTGAAATTGTAGGTTTTTTTTTTTTTTGTTTTTTTTTTTTTTTTTTTTTTTGAGATTTTTTTAATTTATCAGGTAATTCAACATGTGAATATTATGTATTAGATATTATTGTAATTTATTATGTCACAGAAATTCAAATTTAGTTCATGTGATACGTTGTATATATTTTTATCTGTGGCTTTGTTCTTATTGTTTAAATATAGGTGCATTAAATTCTTTCTTTCTCGATTACAGCTGTCTACTCAGGCTGTCAAAGATTATAACAGAGGACGTGTTTATCTTTCGGACTTAGCAACTAGAGCAGGTGTGCCAGTTTTTGAAGAAATTGATGAAGCTGTTAACTGTGCTGTGAATATGTGTCTCCAAAATTCTTAGTTTGTAAACTTTTCAGGAGAAATCCTGGAACTTTTGAAGATCTGATATTATTCCACAAACTTCAGCATTAGACTTTAATGGCAGTTTGTTTGGAATTACAGACATTGCATTGTGTCCTTCTATCATCAGATGTGAAACATACGCACAGAGTTTTTAGTTGTTTTTGTTTTACACATTGCTCATGTGTTGGTAAAGATTTTAGTTGTGTCCTGTTTTTTTTACTCAGCGAGTTGAACTTTTCTACTGTTTAATAATAAATTAAATTATGAATAATTCTTTAATATATTACACTGAAATGGGACATAATTTGCCATACAGACTGTTGAGAATCATGTTCGTGAAGGATAAATCTAAGATTTTTAATTAATGTAAAAAATATTAATTACAATTTTTTTTTTTTTTTAAAATTGTATAGAATGTATCAAGAAGAGTATCCTTTCGTTGTAAGTACAGTTTACCACATCTGAAATGCATTATTTTTCCTATTCAGAACTGCCTCATTTTTATTACATTTAAAAGTATTCCTGTAATTTTAAGTTGTTTATTAAATGATTTCTTGAAAAGTAGAATGCGACTGCAAAGAGAACATTAAAATTTTACCTGAATACTTAAATATAAATTTGATAATTTTTTGTTTGAATCATGGGAAAAAAGAGAAGCATTAGAAATAAGTATTAATTAGTGATGTAGATTATTCTTCGTTTTTGGCAATGTTCCACTGTACATTATCGATTATTAACAGTATTAGCACTACCATATAGTTAGGCCTTAAAAAGCAGTGTATTATTTTTTTACAATATGTGTTTAATATGTGTTATGTTTGTTATGTGTCATATGTGTAAAAGGTAATTTTTAAGTTTTCGCAAAATGCAAATTTCTAATTTGGTTTAATTGCAAAATGGTATTATTTCAACTTCTTTAATTGAAAATAATTAAAGCATTGAGATTAGAAATGGTGTGTACCACCATTTATCCAAATTAAATTTTTTGTGCCGAAACACAATATATGAAGAAATGCTGCAAGTCATTTTCCCTTGGAAAATATATTGGTATGGTGAGAACAAAACAGAAGCCGATAGAAAGATTTTTAAATCTTAAAAATTTCAAAGCAGCAACTACCACTTTTCTGGTCTTGGTCATCTGGTTTGAAAATACTTTTTTTTACATAATTAAGCTGTTATGTGCACATGAATTTGTTTCTGAAATACAAGATTCTCCACTAGCTTTAATATTATGTTTTGTAACATTTATAACAAGCTTATAATTCTTCAAAAATATTATTTATTAATTATGTTATTAAAACTTAAAAAAATATTATGACCTGTACACTTTACCGTATTATAAGAATTGGAAATCAAATAGGCATAAACGATATTCATATGACCTGTGGTTAATTTATTACTCCTTATATAAACATGGAAAATCTGAGACAAATAATATTTTTTGGTTTCCTAATAGCTCATTTGTGTGATTGCTTTGTAAAATGTTTGTTTTAATATAATTTTTAATATATTGTATATATGTATTAAGGGACCAACCACAGTTTAAATATTCTTTTTAATTGAGATTTTTTTGTTATGAAAGACAGATTTTTGCATATTTTGCTTTTTACATCCATGTGTTTTTTAAGAACTGATTCCATACTGCTAAATTATTAGCATTAAAATTAAATATGGAAACTGCAGATATTGAAAACCATTTGCTGGGGAAATTTTATTTCATAACCTAAATCTTTTATGAAATAGCATGTGTATTTTAAAACTTCATAGTATTATTTATGTATTTACCAATTGCTTTTTGTGATAATGAAAATTATTATTTTAATGATTAATAATTACAGTAGTTGCTAATGTTAACAAAAAATATAACTGATTCATATAACAAATATCAGTTCTTGTAGGGTGTATGATTATTAAGGCTGTTAGGTGTTAATTTAGGGGGATTTTTTGAAAAATAATTTTGCTAACTTCACTAAGGTGTAACTATTGTATATATTTTCCTGAAAACAACAATTAAATCTTTATATAAAGTTCTATGTGTCTGTGTCTTTTCCTTTTTTAAAACATTCTTTTAAATACAAGAAAACTGTGATTATCAATGAAAGGACATAATCCGCACTCAATTGTAGATGCAAACTAACAATTTCAATTTTCAGAAAATTCAGAACAGCAAATTTTATTATTATTATTATTTTGGCATGTGTAGGAAAATAAGCTCTTTAACAAAAAATACAGCCTCCCAGGACAGTATAGTGGTTAGGGAAGCCTGACTGCGATACTGAAGGGCCTGGGTTCGAATCCCATAGAAGGCATGGTTGTAACTATCCATCGCTTCATAGCAGGCGACGGTGGCCCACCTATTAGGTGCCTCCATAATAAAGAAACCACCACATCTGGATTTATATAGATTATTGGACTGTGTTACATTGTAACTGTTCACAATCTGCCATTGGGGGAAAAATATTTTTATAATGTATTTGGTTTAAAGAAACTAATTAGTTTTATTATTAAGTTATTTAGCATTTTCTGAACCCATATAAGCTTTTTTTTCTATAATAAACACGGATCGTAAATATCGGCAAATGTTTTGCTAATTCCTACTTTTAGATGTTTATACCGCCTTTTTCTTTATATTAACTTTGAATCGATATGATTAATTTAAAAATCATATTGCATGTTTAAAGGATTCATTTGTCTTATAACTTTTGCTTTATACTTAATAACATTGTGTAGCTGGTTTTTTACATTCCACGCAAACATCAATTGCAAATAGAGACAGGTTTTTGAAAGTACTTACGAAGACATTTCTGGATAAAATATGATGAAGAAGCTGAGGCCGAACAATAGAGAAATTTTCTTTTAATAACTTCAAATAAATTTTGGCACATTTTATAGCATTTCTAATCTTATTTCACCTATCATAACAGCAGAATTATCCTAGGAAGTAAATTAAGTGAAATCATTATCCTAGGAAGTAAATTAAGTGTATCAGGAGTTTTGTAAGTGGTGTATGTATTTGTTCATTCTCTTGAAGTATAAATGTTACTTAGAAAGTAATTTTATTGGTAGATGTGCAGTATTTTTACTCAAAATTTTGCGATGCCTTTAAGAATTTTCCTTATCTGTCTGCTATGTATATTGACGTTATTTTGTTTGTATGCAGTTGTATAAGTTTTTTTATTCTGTAAATTGTGATTAAATAATATTTAAAGTGTTTTTATTTCTGTGAAAATAATCTAGATTTGATGTAAAAAATTACAAAAGGTAAAATGCAGACAAAACTCGGATATGATAAACGCGGTCAACAAAATTCACCAATTCGTACAAACCTTGATCTTGAGGTATGAGGTTTATAGGCATTCTTCTGTACCATTGTACAGTGAGGGAAAAAAATATTAAATTCAACTGTTTGTAATGTCTACCTAATATTTTATTAAGTTTGAAGTACAAGCATGTTACTGTATGCATCATATATTTATTAGTAATATTCACAAAATTATTGAAACTAATTTATAGTATCTATAAATTTTGCATCAAATTATGATTATATTGAAAGTACAACTTTCATTTTAAATGTTAGTAAGACCTGTCTTGATAGAGCATAAAGGAAAAAAAACAGCATGCAGTGTCTCTCATTAATCCAGACACTTTTAAAATCAGCCAGTTGGCATAGTGGTGCAGTTTGTAGCCTGCCTAGAGCGATGGAGGAGCTAGAAATTTTGGGCCATTAAGGCAAAACGTAAAGTAACTATAGTGGAACCTTGAGATACGAGCACCTCTGTAAGCGAGCAATTCGAGATACGAGGAAAGTATGAGCGAAAAATTAGTCTCTAAGTACAAGCATTGGCTCGAGCAATGAGCCAGGCTTTTGGTATGCGAGACGCGTTTCCCGATCCAGCTCGACTCGAGGAACCATCTCGTCAGATCATTCAGTGTTCTTTGATCTACGTGTTTGTGCGCTGAGTTATTTTTTTTTTTTTTTTTCCATTTAACGTAAAAATAATTATTTTACGATGCCTGCCAAGAAGATTGTTGCCGCAGATAGGCTGCAAAGGAAAAGAAGGAAGCCATGACCGTTGAAATTAAGAAAGAAATCATAGATGTTATGAAGATGATAATACAGATACAATTTCTTGGATTAGTTGCACTGTGTTGTCCACAGATTGAGGATCGAAACTTAAGTCAGGAATACTCTAGGACCACATTTGTTTCCATGCTGAATGGACGATTCGCTGTATTCTGAAGAAGAAGGAAAAAAGTAAGAAACTTGATGTGGCCTAAGGAGTTACCGCTACTTCCAAGCACCCTCCGAAACTCCTAGATGTTGAGAAGTTGTTGATGTGGATTAACGAGAAGCAGTTAAAAGGCGAATTAGTGCCGGAAGCTATCATTTGCGCTAAGGCTAAGAATCTGTACATGGACCTCCTCCGAAAAACGACAGGTACATTGACTGAAGATGAGACTGCATTTAAGGCAAGCCGTGGATGTTTTAAAAAATTTTTACAGAGAACCGGTGCACAGTATTGAGCGACATGGAGAGTGCGAGCTGCTGCTGATAAATTTCGCCCAGAGTTCCTACAATATATTACTAGTGAGGGCTTTCTTCCCCTGCAAGCATTTAATTGTGATGAAATAGGTCTTTTTTGGAAAGAAATGCCTAAGAGGCCCCACATCACGCAAGAGAGGAGAAATCTTTGCCTGGCCACAAGCCAATGAAAGATAGACTTACCCTCGTGTTTTATGCCAACGCAAGTGGAGATTGTAAAATCAAGACGTTGCTCGTCTACCACTCGGAAAATTCACGAGTACTCAAGAGGGGGATGGTGCAAAAAAACTAACTGAATGTGATGTGGCGGGCCAACCTGCGTAACACGGCAATTTTTCATCGAGTGGATTAATGAAGTTTTTAATCCCTCGGTGAAGACCTTCACGGAAATAAGTTCAAGGCTTTGCTCGTCCTTGATAATGCTCCTGCACATCCTCCAGGGCTTGAAGATGATTTGCTGGAGGTACTTCAGTTCATAAGTCAAGTTTCTTCCTCCCAACACCACTCCAGTTCTCCAGCCTATGGAGCAGCAAGTTATTTCCATATTTAAGAACCAGATTACAGTGGCAAAAGTGTTTTGAAGTAACTGCAAATACAAGCCTGACCCTCAGAGAATTTTGGAAGGATCACTTCAACATCCTGGTCATCAGGACCCTGAATTCAGCATGGAAACAAGTGTGGCCTTAGAGTATTCCTGGCTTTTCGATCCTCAACCCGTGGATAAGAGAGTGCAGCTAATCCAAGAAACTGTATCTCTGGGGGAAACCATGGGTCTTAATTGTGGATGGTGCTGATTTGGATGAGTTAGTGGAGGAGCATAGTGAAGAACTTATAATTGACGAACTTAACCACTTGCGATAAAAAGACGTGCCACGCACGTCGAGATGCTTTTGTCTCAAACTGCGAACGACGTGAACACCACGTCGATAGGCATTTATCGCAAAAATAAAAATAACGTGGTGCACACGTCGCCTAACAACGAGATTGTTTATTTCTCGAGTTACAGCTCTAGATTGCACTCGCAGGAGCGGCGTAAATGAGACACTTTACCGCTTGTTATATTATAGCACACGGCACCGCAACCGTGAAGTTTAGTCGTAGCGCAAGTGGTTAAAGAACTTCACAAGGAGCACCAGCAAGAGGTGGTAGAAAAGCTTTCGTTAGGGCAGGAGATGAGGCCTCTTTCAGTAAAGATTATGGGAATGTTGGCAAAGTGTGAACAAGTGAAAACTTTCTTTGAAGAAAATTATCCTAATAAAGTAGTGTGTGGGCGCACCATGAACTTGTGTAATGATAATGTAGTGTCGCATTTCAGAGTCATCTTAAAAAGGAGATAGAAGCAAGCGTATATAAGTTTTTGGTAAAGCAACTGCAACTGAAAGAAAGTTAAGTGATTCTGATCCAGAACCTGCTTCCAGCATTATTTATTAGAAAAATTGATTTTTATGTTGATATTTGTGGTGCCGAACGGATTAACTGGATTTCCATTATTTTCAATGGAAAAGTGTGTTTCTAGATATGAGGAATTCCCTATACCATCTGAATCCCAAAACAAATTAAACTCTTATCTTGAGGTTCCACTGTACTTACATATTAGTGCAAACACCTAGCACAGTTTGGCATTTTTCATTTCGGACTAAACATATGCAAAATCTCCACAACCAGATTACAGTGGCAAGCTGCAAAGGAGCAAATATTCAAAAACCAAAAATGAAATAAGAAATTTACATCTTTCACTCCATCAACATCAGGAGGTTTGGTTCAACGAAAGAAGCAAATAAATCAGCCAGTTTCTGAACCAAAAAAGGCACAAACTGAAGGTTAGAACTTAAATATACTGAAGTACATAATTCTGAATGTTATATGGATTTATAAAATGCATAATCACTTCGATCGTTTGCGTGTGTTTGTTAAGGCAAATGAATCTATATGTTCGAATCAGTAACTGGTTGAAACTCCTTTGGTGGTGATGCATGCTTTGTAAATTTTGAGGTAAGATGATGACTTTGCTAGCCGAGGGAGATATGAGCTGCTCGGAGACAGCGCTGAGATATGCGAGCCGTATGGGTTCTAGCATTATCCTCTTAGAAATTGGATCCAAAATCATGTGTCAGTGAAGGGTAACATAAACAGCCGCAGGATTTTACCAGCGTATCTTAAAGCTATTAAAGTTGTATGTAGGATGGCTAGGGTCAAACTGTTGTAAGAGATAGAACTCGGTGTCCGCCCATAACATCGCGGACGAAAACAACGCAAGGCGAAAACATCGCAAAGAGAAAATATCGCAGTTCTAAAACATCGACGTCGAAAATAAAGCGGTTTAAAAACATCATCGTTGAAAACATCGTGGTAAAATATAAAGTAGCTACAAATCATCGTATGACGATAATTTTTATTTTCACACTTTTTTTTTTTTTTTAACTAATAAAATTTTGCTGAAAAAGGAAGAAGGAAACTTAAGCATAGAAAATTTAATGCAACTTATAGA